CACCTGACATCCGAGAGGAACGTCTTTGTACCTTTCTGGGCCCGGGGGACACCCCGGAGGAGGACACCCCAACCCCATGCTCAGGGCGTGGCCCTCGGGGTATTGCTCGGCCTCGGTCCACAGCCTCCTCCTGCTAACATGCCTGCCATCCACACCTAATTCTGAGTCTGCGATATCCGTGCGATGGTGTTCTGCCTGAGAATAGACCCAGTGCTCCAAGGGCCGATTTAAGGCCCTTCCCCAATAATGATATCAATAATAGGTCACGTTTATCTCAATGCCAAGCGTTTTAAGTATGTTCTTTCTCTGAATGGCCACAACTCTGGAGGTAGGTAGTTACTACCCCCATTTTTCAGGTGAGGAAACTGAGGCCAGAAGACTTAAGGAACTCGCCCAAGGTCATTCATTTCAGGAGGTGGGGGTGGGGTTAGAACCCAGTCAGTCTGACTCCGGAGCCTCCTCTGGCTCTAGTTACTGCAGACTGCTGAGCTGCAGGCCTGGTATTTCCCTCCACTGCCTCCAAAGCTCAGTAATCATGGTCGCAGTAATAATTCCGATATATGGAACACCAGGAGCTCTGGTGAGTACTTCACATACATCCTCATCGACTCCGCATTAACCCCATGAAGTTTGTTTTTATTCCCTCACCTCACCCTCACTCTTCAGATGGGCAAACTGAGATTTAAGCAGATACACCCCCATTGCCAAGGTTTTAGACGCTCTCTGTGGCTCAGCTTTCGCCCACCCTGCTGCAGCCGGGGCCTGTGACTGTGACCCACAGCACAGAGCACATGCTCTGCCCAATTCTGGACACCCCCTTGTGCCATTTTTGCTCAGCTCAACCCTGACGGTGTTCCTCCTGGGTGACATCCAGCCCTTCACTGGGTTGGGCACAAGTCCTCCATGTAACCCAGACAGACTCTCAGCCCCTGGAATGACACCCTGTCTCTACTGGGTCCTACTTCAAGCTTCCTGTTTGCAGTCGTCACTCCATGCCTCTCAGTCTCTGGTTAACATCTAGCCCCCCAGTCGTGCTGGTCTCTAGTCCTGCAGCACTGCCCACTGGGGGAAAGAGCAGAGCTTCTGTGTCTGATACACCTGGGTGCAGTTCCTGCCTCCCCCACCTGCACCTGGAGCCGAGTAGACACCCAGGAAACGTTGCTTAGTTTTGTGGTCTATAAAATGGAGATAATAGTAGCTCCCACACTCATAATGCATGCCAGGTGCTATTCTAAGCACTTTACAGATGAAAACCCGTTCAGTCCTTACAACAACCCTACAGGCAGGTACTGTTATCGCCACTTTACAGGTAAGAAAACCGAGGCCTCAGGGAGGTAGATCATGCAGTGAGTAAGTGGCAGAGGCAGATTTGGGCTGGTGGTCTGGCTGCTGAATGTGTGCTTGGAACCACTCCCTGTCCCTGAGGCTACCTCTCTTCCTCACCTTGGGTTGTTTTCCCCCTGGAACTTATTTATGATGGCAGCTGTAATGTTGTCTTATCTGCTTGTTTGGTGTCTGTCCGCCCACACCTAGAATGTTAGCTCCCTGAGGCCTGGTGGACCACAGTGGTTATGCTGAATGAAGGCATCTCGTTGGCCAGTCCCTGATCGTGGCCTCCCGGTGGGGTCTTCTGAGCAGGTCCCAGCTGAATCCCGCTTGCCCCTCTTCCAGGCCGGGTGTACTACTTCAATCACATCACTAACGCCAGCCAGTGGGAGCGGCCAAGTGGCAACAGCAGTGGCGGCGGCAAAAACGGCCAAGGGGAGCCCACCAGGGTCCGCTGCTCACACCTGCTAGTCAAGCACAGCCAGTCAAGGCGGCCCTCGTCCTGGCGACAGGAGAAGATCACCCGGACCAAGGAGGAGGCCCTGGAGCTGATCAACGGTGAGCAGAGCTGGAGGCAGGGTCTGGGGTGGATGGGAAGAGGTCCTTCTCCCCAGGGGCCAGAGCAGGCCTTGTAGAAATCACACCAGACCCTCCACCCCAGCCTGCTCAGCTATCAGTGTGGCCTTGGCTGACCCAGAAGTGCCAGTACGTGCCATGAACCTGGCTCACACGACTGCCTCTCCTTTTCCGTTCTACCTGGTATTTGAGGGTGAGCCAGGGTAGGTGGGGAAGACCCACCCTTGGGGCCAGAAGACCTGTGTTAAGATGATTGCTATGCCCCTGTTAGCTCCTTGACCTTGGAGGATTCACATCGCCTCCTTGAGTCTCAGTTTTCACCTCTGTGAAATGGACATCATCACATACCTACACCTGAGGGCCATTGTGAAAATTCAGTGAGCTGAGACATTGCGGGGCGCACAGTGGGCCCCAGTCAGTGGGAGCTATCCTTGAGAGCAGTATTGTCAAGGGTCCTGGGGCACATGTGGACAGGTCAGGAGGGAGGGTGGAAAGGTAGCAGCATTAGAACTAGCCGGCAGTCCAGTCGGTGAATTAATTCTTCCCTGAACGAGGAGGCTGTTCCTTGCTCTCTTCTGTGCTTCCTCCACAGTCTAGAGCAGCAGTCGATAGGCAAACTTTCTCTTAAAAGACCAGATGGTAAATATTTTAGGTTTTGCAGGCGGTGCAGTCTCTGTCCATCCTGCTTTGTAATTCCATAGCAGCCGGAGATAATATGTAAACAAATAGGCAAGGCTGTGTGCCAATAAAACTTTATTTACAAAAGCAGCAGGATTTGACCCGTGGGCCACAGTTCACAGCACCCTGGTCTAGAGCTGACCACCGCGGCCGCCACTACCTACATGTGGTTATTTCCATTTAAATTAATTAAAATTAAGTAACATTAAAGATTGGTTCCTCAGTCACACTGGCCGCACTGTTCAGTTGCCACAAGTCGCTAGCAGCTGCCGTCTTGGACCACGCAGATCTTGAACATTTCTGTCCTTGTAGCGTGTTTTGTCGGACAGTGCTGGTCTAGGTTGTACATGGGCTGTCATCATCCACTCGGCCTCCCTCACCAGAGATCCCAGGCCCAAACAGCCTGAGTTCCCACCCAGTTCTGCCAGGTCCTGGCTGTGTGGCCTTGAGGAGGTTACACAACATCTCTGAGCTTCATTCTTTTCACTTGTAAAATTAGTATTATGATAGTAGGACCCACCTCATGGGGTAGTTGCGAGGACTCCGACCTCAGGCAGTAAAGCATGGATAACAGCACCCGGCATCTGGTCAGCGCCCTGTAATTGCCGGTGGTCGTTACGATGGCCGTTGTTAGCATAGGCCCGGCATAGTCCATCAGTACTGGCTGTTTTACTAGCACGTCACTGGTCCAGTGCATGGGCTGGAGGGTACTACTTCCACACCCCTACTCCCAGACCCATACACCCCAGACAGTGTCTGGCACAACAAATGGCACCCGATAACTTCATGCCTCCTAGCATTGTGGAGGGGAGCCGAGTTCTTGTACAGAACCTTGAAGGCAAATGAAAAGAGCTTGCCTCCTGAGCTCTGTGAGGGCAGAGGCTGGCTCTGTCTCTTTCCTCACGGTGTTCCCACCACCCAACACAAAGCCTGGTAGCGCTCACAGCTTTGTTTCATGAACCAATAGAAAGTGAGAAGGGTTTCTGGTAGAGGAAGCAGCAGAAATAAAGGCTTGGGGCTGGGCTGTCGCCTCGGCTCGGAGAGGCTGTACAGGGGACTGAAGAGGGGGAGGCCCTTCAAGGGAAGATCCTGGCCAGGTTGAACAGGGCCCCAAGTGAAGCCAAGAGTCGAGGTCCTTTCCTGGAGACAGCAGGAAACACATGGCCACATGTGATGGGGAGAGTGGCCCTGCGGCACTGGCTTTTAGGAAAGAGCCATGTGGCTGGCGTGTGATGGGCCAGGGCCCCGGCTGGCGGGGACCAGCAGTGAACTGTGAGTGATGGGCGGGGTCTGGCTGCCCCAAGGGAAGAGGAAGTGGTGGGAAGCCCAGAGAAAATCACGAGATGACCTCTTCGTCCTCTAGCTCAAGGGGTCCCTGTTCTGAGGCTTACGGACCACTCAAGAGTGAGCAGGAGGTGATGGGCATTTGAACATTGAGTGGCAGGAGGTGGTATCATTGGTCAAGGGGACTTGGGAAGAGGCCCAGTCTGTAGGGGTACTCACTAAATCTGAGGGCCCAAGGAAGAGACACTGGGGAGGCAAGTGTGGGAAGGCCTGGATTCAGCCAAGCAGCCAGGCCAGAGACAGAAACCCTTGGGACGGTCCAGAGATGACAGGAGGCCGAGGCAAATGGGCCCTGGGATATCTGAGCATCACTTGGAAGGAAAGCCGTTGGGTGGTGGGGACTGCCTGGGAGTAGTAGGTGAGGGGGCCCTTCACCCCGTCGCTAGGATGGACAGGCAGGGCCTGTCTGGTGGGGCTGACACTGTAATGGGAGCCTGGGGGTGCTGAGGTCCACTGAGGTCTTAGGAAGGGCTGCCAGGGGTACGCCCACTAAGCAGCCGGGGCCTAGCCCCAGACAGTGCACACTCGGGAGTGTTAGCAGGGGTCGGACTCACCTGCCTGTGCCAGAGGGCCTGGTGGAAGCCGTGGGAGGCACTGCAACTAGGAACACTGACTTGAAATTGGGGCAAGAAGGAAGCAGGTTGGGTAGATCCTAGAGAGATTCAGGAGGCAGAATCAGGAGGACTGGGTGATTTTGATGGCTTAGATGGGCAGGGGTTGGGTAAGGTCAGAACCAGGGTGGCCTGCCCTGGAGTCACACAGAGATGGATCTCGGCGTCGGCCATGTGGCCTCGAGCAAGTGCCTGCATTCTTAGAGCCTCAGTAACCACATTTGGAGAATGGGGACAGGGTGGCCAGAGAGATTTGGACCCCCCAGAACTGAATGTTCAGCAGGGTGATGGGCTCAGAGTCTGCTGCTCGCTGTCTCTGCAGCAGAGCCTTGAGCCCAGTATTCCGGGCATGTGTGGTGAGGGCTGTGGTCAGGACGAGGCCTCTGCTCACCAGCAGCCCCTGCTGCTTCCCTGGGGCCAGTGTGAGTAGAGCTCTGGGTGAGAATGTGGCAGGCCTGGTGGGCTCAGCGTGCAGACCCTCAGATGTCCCTGGCCCATTGTTTTGTTCAGTGTCCTGAGATGGGGCCGAGGCAGGCCCCCTCGAGATGGCCTGGGCCGCAGTGCACTTGGTAACCAGCCGCATCAGCCAGCTCTGGGCATCTGGGCGTGGTTTCTCTTGGTAAAAGTGGATGTCATGTCCCCCCATCCCCTGTTCTCATCACGGGCTTGTTCTAGGTGATCAGCATTTGGACAGCACACTCCACAGCTGGCAGCCTGGCCCCGAGTCTCACCAACACCCATTTAGATCCCGTGCTTCTGGTTGCCCTAAGGGGACAGGCTGCCCACAGTGAAAACTAGTGTGTCCACATTTTCTGCTGAGGCGCCTTTTCCCAGCATCAGTGCCTCTGCAGCTGCTGGGCTGCGGCCAGAGGCTTATCAGGGATCTGGGGACCGCAGCCTGTCATTGCCAGTGTCCTTGTCTAAGGAAGCCAGGCCCTAGAGAAGCCCTCCCTGCCTGCTTTCCCCCCTCCATCCCCACGTGCCCAGAGCCTGAGGGTCCCAGAGAGACCCTGGTGTGAGCCGCAGTCCCCTGCATGTACCTGTGCCCAGGGTCTGAGGGTCAGTGAGTGCCTTTGGCTGAGTGTCCCCACCCAAGGTCAGTGGCTTCAGCCTGCTGGCTTCAGGCTGGATCTCAGGTCTTTCTGGGCACTGCCTGCAGGAATTTGGGTCTTGAGAGAAGGCAGGCCTCATCCTGTCACCTTTTTCCCTTTCTAGGCCCCTTCCCTAGTTGGTCTCTAAACCTTTTTGGAGTCAAAGACCACTCCATTTGTTCACTCACTTTCCCTGAAACAATTATTGTGGATTAACTCAGGCTGCTACAACCAGGGAGGGGTGGCTCAGACAATGGACATTTATTTCTCATAGTTCTGGAGGCTAAAAGTCCAAGATCACAGTGTCAATAGGTTTGGTTTCTTCTGAGGCCTCTCTCCTTGGCTTGCAGACGGCCGCCTTCTGTGGGCTCAGTGCATGTGGTGGTGGAAGAGAGAGCTTTTTGGGGTCTAGTCTTAAAAGGACACTAATCCTATCAAATCAGGTCCTCTCCCTTATGACCTCATTTAACCTTAATCACTTCTGTAAAGGCCGTGTCTCCAAATATCATCACATTGGGGGTTAGGGCTTCAACATACAAATTTTGGAGGGACACAGACTTTGAACCCGTTTTCTGTGGACTGACAGCCAGTAACTGTCTGGGGCTCGCTCTGTGCCAGGTGCCATCCTGGCAGTAACCCCTTTACTCTTCACAGCAGCCCTCCCAGGGCAGAATTAGCCCATTTTACAGACTGTGCAAGTAAGGCTAGGAGACAGTCACCTATCCAGGTCTCCGAGTTCAGGATTGGGAGAGCTGGGGTCTGAACACAGCAGCTGGGGTCCCGACTCCATCCTCCTCAGCCTCAGCTGCTAGAGACAGTTGCCATTCTGTCACATATCCAGTTTCAGGGGCTCCTGGGCTCCCAGAAGCAGGTGGTCGGTCCCTGCTCCAGCCTGGGAGCTCCTTGCAAGGCACCCCTCAGTCTGCCTATCTCTCAACAGAACCTGGCCAGAGCCCCATCAAATGAGAGTTGGATGGACACTGTCTGGGCGAGGGGTGTGGATGGTCGGGCGAGGCAGGGCTTTGCTGGGAACAGGCCAGGGGGTCTGCTTTGCACTGCCTTCTTGCCTCCTCTTCAGCATTTGAACCTGAGGTTCATATTCATGGAAAAAAAAGGCATGAGGTTCCAGCATTTCTGCCTACAGAGCCCAGCGGTGGAGCCCTCCGCTCTTTCCCCGTGGCCTGTTTCTGTCTCATTTATTCACGATTCCCTTCAGCATTAGTGAGCACCTGTTCTGTGCACAGCACTGGGGGCTGGGGACACAGCAGTGAGCAAGGCCAGCCCAGCCCCTGCTCTCCCCAGATGCGGCGGCAACAGACACACAAACAAGACAGTGGTCAGTGCCGGGCCTGGGGAGGTTCCTCGCCTCGTGGGGTCCTAGGGAAGACCCCTGGGTGAGACCAGGGGACAGCAGCTGAGCTTCAGGCAGGAAGAGATGTTTAAGCAAAGGCCGAGAGGTAGCAGGGGGCAGGGGAGGACTGGGAGGGACATCATGGCGGGGGAGGGGCGGGGGCTGAGCTGGGACACACAGGGGTCTGAACGTAGCCTTGCATCTCGGCTTGTGGCCAGACCCCTGAAGGTCCGCCTCTTAAAGAGGAGCTTCAGAAGGAAGCATTGTTTTTGTTGTTTTAGTTTATATCAGTCTCTCATCTAAGCAGAATGTTTTCTGAGACAGCTGGCTGGTCAGAGGAAGATTTGGGTGCTGTGAGGGGCAGAAGCCTGGCTCTTACTTGGTTTTCAGGCTGCTGTTGCTCGCACGCACACGCTGTGGGTGCACCTTGGCCAGGCCATCTGGTCTCGGGGATCCATGTGGCTGTGCCCCCAGCCTCAGCTGCTAGAGGATACAGCAAGCGGGTGCTTGTACAGGGCTCAGGGCTGGGCCTGGCTCCCCAGGTGCTGGGCACGTGTGGACAGTTGTGCCTTCTGGAGGCAGGCAGGTACATGAGGGGCAGGTGCTGTGCACTAAGGAGTCCCTGGATGGTGCTACTGAGGTCCTGACAGAAGAGAGAGGAGGAGGTAATCTTGGTGCTGCTCGGGTGAGGCCGAGAGATGAGCCGAAGTCCAGGGAGAGGAAGAGGTCGAGGAGGTATCCTAGTGACATCTGGCTCAGATCAGAGTCACCCATGGATGCATCTGGTACAGGGGTCCCTGGCAGCCCCAGGGGGGTGTGTTCAGAGCACACCAGGGTGTTAGGCAGAAGCTACCACAGTGTGCTGTCCACAGAGGGTGGGGCTTGTGTCGAATCCGAGAGCCTTTTGGACCACGCAGCACATCAGGGTGGTGGCCAGCGCAAACTGAGGCACAGGCGAGGAGGACCAGGGATGGGCAGATCAGAGAGCAGTAGGGGCAGCCCCCTCACCGGGTGGCACAGCCCGCATGGAAGGGAGAACAGAATGGTGGCAGCAAGTGCGGCTTGTCAAGGTGTCTCTGTGCTGGGCACTGGGTTGTGAGTCCCTGCAGCCTGCTGGCAGATGACTAATGGTTGAGGCTCAGAGTTAAAGGGATGGTCAGATGGGATGAGAGTGACAGGGACACAGGGAGGGCAGGGGTTACCGGCACAGCTGTGGAAGCAGCCAAGCAGACACACCGGGACACGCAGTTGCTGCTGTGACATGCAGCGAGATGGGAGTGACAGGTGTGCTGTCACGGTCATGCCACTTCGACTGCAGTCCCAGGAGGATGGATTACAGTGACACGGGTCAGACAGGAGTCGGTGGGTGAAGTTTGCACTGGCCCAGAGTTCACATGGCCCTGGCTGGGTGTCTGCGCCTCGGAGTACCAGGTATATTAATCAGCAGTGCCCCTGTGCTGCTCAGACACGTCCCAGGCATGTCACAGCCTCGTTTAGGTCAGACAGGAGCAATGGGGGAGTGTCACAGTGGTGTTCAGAAACCCACCGACAGGTGTGACGGTACTCCCCCAACCCAAGGTGGGCTGGTGTCCCATCGCTAAGCTGGGTAGGTGCCTGGTCTTGGGTCCCCCCAGGGGCCTCAGGGAGGATGCCACCGGGAGAGCAGCTGTGGGGAAAGCCGTGAGGGCCCAGCACGAGGCGAGGAACTGTTCCGGTGGCGGTCTGTGGAGGACAGGATGGGCTCCTGCTCCAAGGGCTCCTGCCTGGTCTCAGGAGAGCGGCGGGCAGCTTTACCCTACCTCACATACACAGGGTTCTGCGCTCTTCGCTTCGCAAACGCCAGTCACACGGGCGCTCGGTGCTGCCCCCTGGCGGCCCTCTGCTGGGAGACCTTCTCAGTCATCCTTTTCCTTCTGTCCCGTTGGCCCAGCCTCCCTGCCCCTCCAGGGAGAACCAGTACTCCACGGGGACAGTTTGGGCGGCACGGAGGGTGAATCTGGTGCACTGCCAACACACGCTGTCCGGGCAGGTGAGGAAAGAGCCGTGTCAGCTGCCCCTGGGGCGCAGACCGTGGGAATGACACGCCTGCCTCCCCGAGCCGCAGCCAGGCTGCGTGCCTCTCGGTCTCTTCACCATGCCCCAGTAAGTGGCCCCGGCCCTTCTCAGACTTTTGAGATGGAACAACTGAGGACCCGGCCGTCTCCTGCGGCAGAGCTGGGCTTATTCCCTGGCCTCTTGCCTTTCTCCTAGGAGCTTTTAGAACACTTTCCTACCACTGCCCTTGGGCTCTTGGGGGACCCCTGGGTCCCTGTGTCCCTTTTTAATATCTGTCCTGTCTTCTGCCGTCCTCCCCAACGGCGTGGAGGTAGAGTCTCTCTCAAAGTAGGTGTAGGGGGTAGGAAGAGACCATGCTGTGTTCATGGTGTGTTTGGGGAGAGAATGACGGAATGGGGGTGTGAGACCAGCTGGCTGTTGTCACCGCAGGGTCTCGGGCCGCGAGCACTGTGAACGGCCCCACTTCCGGGGTGCGTGGGCTCCAGACACGACTGCGCAGGTGCGCGCATGCGCACGCGGTCTGGCAGGGGGTAGTGCACCGCCCCTTTCTGCGTGGAGGGGAGCCCTCTGCCCTGCCCAGCCCCTGACGTGGAGGTCCCCCGTGTGTCCCACTACAGGCTACATCCAGAAGATCAAGTCGGGAGAAGAGGACTTTGAGTCTCTGGCCTCACAGTTCAGCGACTGCAGCTCCGCCAAGGCCAGGGGAGACCTGGGTGCCTTCAGCAGAGGTGCGCAAGGAAGGGGCCCCATCAAACCCTGGCGGGATCCTCTGACCCACCAGCACCCGCCCCCCCCCAACCTAGAGAGTGGGAAGGGTGGCCCCTGTCGCACAGGCCTTCAGGGTCCACCAGGTGGCAGCACAGCCCCTCCCTCAGGCTTCAGCGGTGCCCTGCTGGGGCGGGTGGCTGCAGAGCCTTCTCCTGGGTGGCCTTCTCTCTTGGGGTGGGGAGTCGTTCTGTGTGCCTGTCTGCTCAGTTGTCCCATCACAGGCCCAGGAAGGTGGGTGCTTGCTGCCATTTCCCTTTTCTCCAGTTGGAAGTATAAGGCTGAGGCCCCTGAAAGCCCCAGGGCATGTCCCCTGGAATCCCCTGAACACCCTCATGGATGGGGAAGCCAGGGGCGAGGGGAGATCAGCAGCCCTGAGTTCAGGCCTCCCCCACTGGGGTTATGGAAAGGGAGTAGAGGGGACCAAGCCACTGCCTCCTTCCCCCTCCATCCCTGGGGTCTACAGAGCACCAGGGAGGGGCCCAGGATGGGTAGAGGGGTGTTGGGGAGCCATCATGGGGCTGTGGGCTGCCCACCTGCCCCTGGAGGCAGGAGGAACAGGTGATGTGGCAGAGGCTGGGAACCAGGCCCAGGGAGACCAGTTCATCACTAACATGCATCTCTAAGTGCGCAGCGGAGGCAGCTGCTCTGCCTGCCATCCCTCATGCTGTCCTCAGGCTTCCCAGGGCCTCCTTAATGGCCCCGCCGCCCCCAGCTGGGCTGCAGCTTGGCACTGTGACAAGGCTATAAACCGCATGACAAATGAGTTCGAATGGATGATCCAGTGGGAGCCCCATCTGCCCGGCCTGCCTGGTCCTGGCCTGCGGCCCGGGTCTTGACCCCCCTCTCACACACACACCATTGCTCCTGCTTCCGCAGGTCAGATGCAGAAGCCATTTGAAGATGCCTCTTTTGCGCTGCGGACGGGGGAGATGAGTGGGCCCGTGTTCACAGATTCCGGCATCCACATCATCCTGCGCACGGAGTGAGGGGCGTGGGTGCCTGGCCCTGGCCTCCGGGGTGGGATGGGGCGGGACAGGGTGGCTGGGCCCGCAGATTCTGCTCCCTGCTGCCGGCAGGCCAGTGGGTACCCCTCCCTGCTGATGTCACACGGTATTTATTGATCCCAAAATGGCTGGGAGGGGGGCTTTTCATCACTGGGGGCTCCCTGTCCGCCCTGGTCAGGGCTGTCCCCGCCAGACTGCCCTCCCCTTTAGGAGCTGACTTTGGAAGGGCAGCAGGCTAGAGAGGCTCCCAGACTCAGGGGGTGGGGGTGACCTGTCCCAAAGAGAAGGCCTAGTTAGCTGAGCCATCCCCTGTAGCCCCCCAGGTCCACGCTGGGGGCAGGAGGGCCTTGAGTTGTTTCTGATATGCCATGTTCCTCTATTCAATCGCAAAATGCAAACACTCCGCGTGGGGCCCAGGCTGCCGGCCGCTTTGGGCCCTCTCAGCGGCAGTGCAGCACCCTCCCCACCCTCGATTAAATCTGGAACCACTGCTCTGCTGTCCTGCCTCTCATTTCCACCCTGCTGAGGTGAGGTGGTTGTGACTGGGGAGCGATCATCTCCTGCCATCCCTGGTGTCCAAGGGTCCAGGCTGCGTTTCCGCCTTGAGAAGCCTCTCTGCATCCTGGGCTTGGGGGCATCCCAGCAGCAGTGTCTCTCGGGGAAGTGGGCACTATTCAGCACCAGGGATCCTCAAACTTGGGTGTTAAAAGAACGAAAATGCCAGGCCCCTGGCCACACAGCTCTGGATTCAGCGGGTGAGGGTGGAGCAGGAATCCTCTGATAGCCAGATTGGTATCCCTCTGCCCGGGGTGCTCTTGGCCCAGCCCCCCACCTACTCCCTCCACAACATGGGCCACTTCAGTTAGAACAAATGATGCCCTGATGCCTGCTTCCCTGTCACCATAAGCGCCCCTGGTAGGTTGTGCCTAGGTCCTGCCACCTCTGCAGATGCTGTTACCATGGCAACAGGGGGGCAACCTGGAGGGGAGGAGGGCCACTGCTGTGCACCTCTGAGAACAGGGATCCTGCCCAGCCCTGGGAGGGAGGGAGGCCCTGCGCTGGAACATGGCGGGGGAAGGGGCTGTCAAGGAGCAGAGGGAATCCTGTGGCAGGTGCAGAGGAGGTGGTGAGCTTTCCCTCCTCTTCTGTTGGGGGTGGTGCATGTGGCCCTCATGTTCTCCATCACCTCAAAGCTGCCCCTGGGCCAGGGCCTGGGCTCGGGGCTCAGAGTTCAATCCAGGGGTTTGTGGGTCCGTTAGAGAGTCGGTTATGCCTCCCTGCCCCTCACTTAATGGGGACCAGCCCAGATCACGGGCGTGGCGAGCTAGCAGGGCTTGGGGACCTGAGTAAAATAAAGCCCTGCTTGGCCTGACCCCGAGGGAGCCTCCCCTCCCCCCAAAGATGAGTCTCTAATAAAGTCCTGAGTCTCATAAACAGTCACCTGGGCCGTCTCCCATCTGGCCAGTTTCCGGAGCAATCGCTCTCTGCCTGCCGCCTGCTGGAGTGTTTGTCATTAGGAAGGTTTAATGAGTTTCTTCCCAGCCCTGGTGGGCTGGGGAGAGTGGCTGTTTGGCTGCACCTCCAGACAGAATCTTCTCCCATCGCCTGTGGGGGCCACAAGACAGGCAGCAGCCCCACTGTCTGCACCAGCCCTTCTGTTGGGTTAGGGGAGCAATGCATCACTCCTGGTCCCACGCAGCCTCTGGGAAGGATCAGAAATGAGTCCCGGGGGCGGGGAGGGTTTGTGGGGTTCTGCTCCAAGGCGAAGGAGCCACCAGAGAGGAGCCTGTACCCAACTCTCAAAACCAAAGGCCCAGGGAAGGTCTCTCTGGGCTCCCGGGAGACTGAGATGCTGCCAGGGAAGAAAGGGTGGTGGAGGCAGGGTGCGTTTTCCTGTGCGGGGCTGGCAGGCAAATTGCCTTTGTGCCCTGTCACTGGGCATGTGTGTGTATGCGTGTGTGTGTCTGCCTGGGCATGTGTGTGCCCATGTGGCTAGCTGTCTGTCCTGTGTGACCCTGGGAGTGCCCCCCGTCTGAACCTGACCGCCAGCCTCCACAGACCTCCCTCTTCCTTTGTCTGGCTGTGCAGCGGCCAAAACCCAAACATTAAAGAACGTCGCCTTTAGATAAACATGTCCGCAGAGCCCAATCACCATCCGTGATTCCCTCACTGGCTCCACCCCCCACCCCCTCCTGCCCAGAAGTGGGGCCATGAATCCCAGGTTTTCAGGTCAGTGACAGCACAGTCTAGGTCACGGATCTGGCACCTCCTGGCCCAAACTCCACCCCCGGGAGCTGGTTTCCACTCTTCTGTCCTGCGCACTGGCTCAGGCTTCTGCAACCGAGCGGTAGGCCTGGAGCCGGTCACTGCGGCTCGGGGTAACGTGGGCACTGCCAGGGGGCGGGCTACAAAGCTTCCCCAATGCAGCCAGGTGCACGGCCACAAGAGGGGAAGTCGGAGTAGGGACACACGCAGTTGGCAGGTCCTGGCCCATTCCTTGGAACAAAAGTCACCAAAGCAGAAGTATTAGGAGGGCTGGACCTGCCTGTGTGTGCATTTGGGGGGGGGGGGCGGGGGGAGAGAGAGAGAAGGAAGGGGCAGTTACGAAGCCAGCGCCTGCAGGCATCTGTTCGGTGCCCAGCACATAGTGGAGACATGGGCTGCAGATGTTCTAGGTACCCCAGCTCTGTGTCTTTTTCTTAAAAAAAGCAGATACAGAGCCAAGGGCCTCTCAAAGTGCTTATCCAAGAATCGATTCTTTTCAATGTCAAACTTGTTAATTTAAATGGAAATTAATTGCTTTTCTTGACGATTTCTTTAAAAATTGGTTTTAAATGAATGCATTAGGCGGCTGCATTTATTATTCATGGGTTTCGTTAGCAATATGGCCCCATCGTCCCAAGTTCCCAGAAATGCCAGCACGGAGCAGAGATGGTTTAATCAAGGAGGCCATTCATTAGAGATGGGGAGACAGGGAGGGAGGTCTCCTCCCAGAGGAGGGCTTGGCCTCCTCCGTGGCCTTAGCAGGGTGGGGTCTGGGCCGGTGGGGCTCTCTGCACAATGTTTCCTGCTGGAGATTGGGGTGGGGGTGTGGTCGGCACTACCTTTGTTCCCGGCCACCGCTCCAGAGGTGACTCTCCCCGACCCCTCCTTGCAGTTTGTCTCCCCCAGGCCACCAGGGATCTGGCTAAAATAAAGCCTTCCTTTGGTCCTTCCCCTTCTGGGAACTCCCCTCACCGCTGCCAGCTCCCCAGCCACCCTTCTCACCCTGCCAAAGTCACATCGCCATGGCTCCGAGGACTTGGCCTCTGCTTACTTCTTCCATCTCTTCCTGGCTCTTTCACGTCCTAGCTTTGCCGTCCTTCCCCTCCAGGAGCTCTGGTCTCCAGGCTGGTCCCTGTATTGGGGCCTGTCCCTGCCCAAGCCCGGGCGTGGGATGGGGGTGTGTCCAGTGGAAGACACCCAGCACCCCTTCAGATCACTCCTACCTTTTTGTGATGATCTAACACAGAACAGGTGCAATGCATAGAAAACAATTTTGAAATTAAAAAGCCAAAAAGAGAAGCAAAAGGAAAACCTCTTCCGTGTCCTACCCGCCATGCCCAAATTCTTAAAAGCAGCCAAATTGTTTAAAACCCATTTTAAAAGTTGCCAGATGGGCTGGTGATGCACCAGTGTGATCATGAGTGGAAAAAACTGGTGACAATATTCATTTGAGGCCAACCTTCATCATTGTGATAGAATTCTCCGTTGTCTGGATCAGGTTGCTTTGAATTGTTTTCGACTGAACCAGTTTGGGGTCGGGTCTCCTCGCCTGTCTCCCCAAAGGGCTTGCCCTGCCATGGCCCCCACTCGCCACCCTCCAAGGCTGGGTTTGCCTGTTCCGGTTCACAAGGCTCGTGGCCTGGGGCAAGGGGACCCGGCTGGGATGGGCCTCCTACCTCAGACTCACCCTCCACCTGGCCTCCTCGGCCCCTTACAGACACACAGAGCAACCGAAACATCAAATGTCAAAGGTCCCATTTATTCCAGCCCCCCGGAGAGAAAAAGTGGAAATAAAAAAGAAAGTAAGATTCATGCACTCAACTCCTTGGGTGGGCAGGAGGGGACGTGGAGCGAGGAGGAGAGGGACTGGGTGGGATGCAAAGAGGGGAGGGAGGAAAGAGAGACAGGCAGAGAGAGGGACAGAGAGCTGGAGAGTCAGATCAATAAAAAGAAGGAGGCAAAGGGACAATAAAAAGGCAGAAGGACAGAGTGAAGTATCAAAATCAGAGCTCAGTAAAGGAGTTGAGAAAATGCACTGATAGAAATACAGAGGCAGAGAACGAAAGCTCGGCACAAAGGAGGAGAGAAAAAAATAGTACAGGAGGAGCGAGGAGGGAGAGAGAGGGCACCACAGACGGAAAGAGAAACTCGAAGGGACACAGGCAGAGTAGAAAGGGCCCCCGGCGGCCCTCGTGTGGCAGGCAGCCTGGGCCACGGCAGCCCCTAGGGGTCCCCGGCGGTGCTGATGACGTGGAAGAGGGTGACGTTGTAGAGCACCTGGTGGCCGTTGTTCCAGGTGTAGAGGGCCCGCTCCCGGGGGTTGTAATCCAGCATGGAGATGTGGGAGTACTGGTTGTGGAAGGGCACGTCCGTGTACTCGTAGCTGGACGTGTTGGTGAAGTAGGCGAAGTAGACCTTGGCCCCGGCCAGGTGCGAGTTGGTCACGTAGAGCACGCCGCAGATCATGAAGGCCTCGCCGGCGCTGCGCTTGGGGTAGCCGGTGTCCCAGGAGCGCAGGACCTCGAGGGTGTGCGGGTCCAGCCGGCTGACCACGATGTTGCCCGCGTTCTGGTTGGTGGTGTACACGGCCCAGAGCCCGCTCTCGTCCACCATGAAGTCCATGTCCGAGAAGCCGCCCCAGGAGTAGGGGAAGGTGTTGTTGTAGCCGGCCCCCGGGAGGCTCCGCTGCACCAGCACGGACCGCGAGCGGAAGTGGTACTTGACCACCACGTTGCTCTGGTACTTGTTGTAGAACAGGGAGCCGTTGTACACCACGTGGCCCGTGCCTGCCCACGGCTGGGGCAGCAGGTGCTGGATAAAGTTCTGGCCTTTGATGAAGTCTCCCAGGGTGCGGAACTCCAGGACCCGCCGGCCCTTGTAATAACCATCCATATACCAGACCTACAAGAGAACCACTGGTCACTGGCGGGCCACGGCCAGTGACCCAGAGGTCCCAGCAACCGCTCAGGAGTCACGGGGTCACGAGGGGTCAACAGTCACTAAGTGGCCGTTACTCAGTCCCTGGACGTCCAGCGACCATTCATGCTCAGGCACAGCCCTGGTGACTGGGGCCATGTGGTCAGGGAGTGCCACTGGTCTCGAAACAGACACTCAGAGGATGATGCTTGATCCCCAAGAAGCAGGGAAATTGCAGCCCCTGGTGACTCACTGGGCCCTGGGATGTGCTGGTCATTGGCTATTGGATGGTTAGTCACTGGACTGCCCTCGGGCGATAAGAGGCCATTTGAATTGGCCGCGCATGGTAATCCCCGTAAGCACAAGGCGACTGGCATGTCATCATCATCCTCTCCGTCATCACCAGTCACTGTCCTGTATTAATCAGCACTTGTGAGCGCCCTTACGAGTGCTACTTACTGGGCTAAGACTTAAGGACTTAAATGCTGGCATTATCACAGCCATTGTGAAGATGAGGAAACTGAGGCTCTAAGACCTTGAGGAACCGGCCCAAGTTTCCCTAGCTAAGAACTGGTGGACGCAGGAAGTCTGATTCCCAAGCCCAAGCTTTAACCACTTGGTTAAACCCCCGTGATGCTTGGGCGGCCAGACATGGTGGGTCGTGGCTGTTTACTGCCTCCAGCCTCTGGCACTCTGCCCAGTGACCAATGCCAGTAACTAGGATAGTCACTGGGCAGTTCACGGACGGTTCCTGTGGGTCAGAGGTGACAGGCATTTGTGACCATGGAGGCCGCTGGAATTTCAAAGGTCACTGGTGGTGCTGGTAGATCTCAGTCCCTGGGAAGGCCCCAGTCACTGGCAGTTACTTCGAGGTCAGGGGTCACTGGGAGCCGTTCAGTAGTATTAGCAACCATTAGTCTACAGTCATTGGAGGCCAGCCGACTTGGGGATTCACAGGGCTGGAAAGTTCTTGGTCACTTGGTGGTCACTAGACAGTCAAGGGGGCTCCAAGGGCCCTGGAGATCCTAGGACACTTCGGGCTACAGGATAATCACTGATGTGGCATCACTGGGCACTTATGGGAAGCCTCAGCCCATGTCTCCCCCGGGTCCTGACCCCTGGGGTGGGCCCAGTCACTCACCCGGCTGTCCGTACTTGGGGCCATCGTGTCGGTCATCCAGGATCCGAAGCGGGACCCCATGGCCCGAATGGTGATGGGGTTACTGACCCCAGTCAGCTTCCCACAGCCTGGGAGGCAGGAACAGGGTCATGAGGGTGAGGGATGGGAAGAGCCCGAGGGAGGCAGGGCAAAGGGAAAATGGTGTGATCAAACTGAAGCGTTGGGACCAAAGATGAGGGAAGATCCAGAACTGGTCCCAAGGTGGAGTTAAGCTGGGGGTGAGGAACTAGAACTGTAGGGTCGGGGCCATTTCCAGCTTCTGGGTCTATTTTTGGCCTTGGATGGGGATGTTAAGGGTCAAAGTTTAGAAGTTAGAGGTCAAAACCATGCCCTGGGTACACAGAAGATATTGGGGGTGGACATGGAGGTCAGGGGTCAAGGTCAAACATCAAGGCATACCCAGCTTCTGGGCGCAGGCGTGGAGCCGGGCCTCCAGAGCCATCACCCGCTGCTGCAGGTCCTCATACCCGTAGGCACCCATCTCCTCCTGGATGGCTGCAAGGCTGCCGGAGAGATTCCTCACCTCCTCCCGCAGGCGCACGATGGTCCGCGTGTCTGCCTTGTACTGCTCCAGGACCGAGCTCAGGGGTAACAGCTCCGTCATTCTGTCCTTCAGCTCCTGCTCACCAAGATGGAACCCTCGCTGGTCCCGACCCCTGACCGGTCACCCAAACCTGACCCCAGCCTTCGACCCATAACTTCATCCCTTATCTCTGATGCACACCTAGTTGGACATTTCGCCCACACTGGACCCTAGATCCCAGCCAACCCTTGGTCCTTCTTACACATGACCTTGCTCTCAGAACTAATGGGCATTGATCCCAGTTCTTCCTTTGACCTCTGACCTGAACCCAGAAGGACCCACCTGGAAGCTCTTGGCCGAGAGGGACCCGTCGGCCACCCGGAGCCGAGCATCCAGGCTCCGCATGAGGGTCTCCATGCTGCGCACGTACTGGAGGTCACGGTACGTCCGCAACTCAAGGACCTCCATGGACTGGGAGACGTTCTGAACCTAGGAACTGGGAGGGTTAGGGAGAGCCAGACTCCTGTCCCTGCCCCCGAGATGCCACAGACAAAGCCAGGCCAGGCCAGAGGCCAAACACCCAACCAACTTCTCCTCCCCTGACCACACCAGCAACCTCCCAATTGCTCGCTCAATCCACCCATCGCTACTGCCTGGTCTGGCCACCACCAGCTCCCACTTCTCCCCTCCTCCCTGCCTTCAACCTGGTCCCCGGCGCTCAGTTCTCCACACGGCAGCCAGAGGGAGATTTTCAAAAGGACAGTTGGATCCCCTTTCCCTGCAGACCCTGCGGGCTGGTCCTGCCTCCTCGCCTGCCATCTCTCCGTGTTCATCCACCCCAACCACCATCCCAGCTTTACTCTCAGACTCGAAGCTTCTTCTGTCCTCAGGGCCTTTGCACTTGCTGATCCCTCTACCTGGAGTTTCCCCTCATCTTTACATGGCGGGCTCTTCCTCATCCTTCATGTCTCAGTTCTAGCACCACCTCCTCAGAGTAGCCTTCCTGGACCACTCTGCCTCCAGCAGCTGCTCATTCCCCCCTCTTGACGTGGTTCTCTTCTTCCCAGCTAGGGCTACGACCTGCAACATTCTTATTTATCTTCCTTCTCTAGGTGTGATCCTCAGAGGCAAATCTAGTGTCTGGTGTGTCCACAGCTGAGTGCTCAATAAATACTAGGTGCTCAATAAATACTTTTCGGCTAAATGAGGGAATGGAAATTCACTTGCTCCGGCCTCTCCTAATCCTGACGGGTCCTCTAGCTCCCACCTCCACCTTGCCAAGGCGACCTCAGAGACAGCACTGGCTGCATGTTGAAATACACAGACGTTCCTGCACCATTGCTCACATGACACTTGGAAGTTCTCAGAAAGCCGACAACCTGATACCCACCCTGGATGCCACAGAACATTCTTATAGCCATTGTCATTACTCAGGGGACACTACAGACTGTTGCGGAAAGCAATTCTGGTGTCACGGGCAAGGCAGGATCCTACAGAGTTAATGGGTGGGAGACTCCAGTGCCAACAAGTGTCCTGTCTGTTTTCTGGAACAGCTTCCAGCTTTCCTTCTCTACAGGATGACGGTGGAAGGTCTCTGGTCCCTTTCAACTGAGATATTAGAGCTAACTAATGGGCAGTTCAGCTGGGTAGTGGCAAAGGACAGCAGTTAGTCTGTAAAGGGCACCGAAATATCTTTGGGAATGTATTGAATGGGGACCATTTTCTATCGACCAGGATCAGAAGGGGAAGGAATCTTTATATAAGCCTCTTGGGATGGGAGATGAGACCCTTCTTAGCAGATGAGTCTGGCTGAGTGCAGGGTGGGGCCGGAGATCACACACGAGAGACTCGGGTGCTGTCACTGGGGTTCTCCTCCTCTGTCCCCACTCGGCGCTCAGTTTCTCCTCCAAAGAAGCATTGAACAGATATTGACTAAAACATCTGCCCGGAGGGGAGCTGGGTTCTTCGCCAGCTCTGAATAATCCGTGAGGCTGGATCTGGCCCCGGCTGACCTGGATGGGGGCAGAGGGCAGGGTGGGAATTGGGAGGCTTTCAGAGGGAGACCGGGAGATTCTTACCTTCTCCATCAGCTGCCGCAGCTCCCGGCTCCGGCCGTCGCGGGAGCAGGTGCTCTGCGCAGGGATCACGGCCGTGCAGATGCATTTTCCATCCGGAGCCTGGGCCGATGTGTACAGCTGCCAGCCTTCCTCTGGGCTTTGGAAGAGGGTCTGTGGGGAGGTCAGGGCCAGACAGTGGGAACCCAATGGAGTATTCGCCCCATCACCTCTAGGGGAGGAAGGGGGCCCCAGGGAAATGACAGATGCCCTTTGCTGGAGTCTTGGAATGTGCCAGACCACGTACTGAGTGCAAGACGTGTGTGATCTCCATCCCTCCTTAGGGAGCTCTGTTTTACAGATGATAAGTACAAGGGGCTAAGGAACACAGCAAGGAATTGTGGGAGTTGAGCCCTTCCATGAGACAGGAATTCATTCTCTCACACACATCTGTACACACACACAACGCTGCCTCCATGATCACTGTGAAAACGTAGAATTGGACTCATACTGACTCGCAGACCTGGACCTCCCTGTCTGCTTCCCTGGCCCACAGTCACATATGGGCTCTGGAAGTACCTTGAGGTCCAGTAAGCACAACTCTGAAGCAGGTGAGGAAGGAGCCATGAAGATATCTGGGGAAAGATGTTCCAGGCAGCGAAAACAGCATGTGCAAAGGCCCTGAAGCAGGACCATACCTGGTGTGTTTGGAAAACATGGAGGAGGCTAGTGTGGCTAGAACAGGGTGAACAAGGGAAAAAGTCGGGGGGAGGGTGATGAGGACAAGGAGGGATAGGAGAGCAGGGCTTATGTGCCATGGGGAGGACACTGAATTTTTGCTCTGAGTGAGGTGGGAGCCACAGACGGTTCTGAACAGAGGATGGACAGGACATGACTAAGGTGTTCACAGGCACCCTCTGGCTGCTGTGGGGTGAACAGACTGGGGTGTGTGTGGTGAGGGTGGGAGCCCCACTAGTCCAGGCAAGCGATGATGGGTGGTGACTGAAGAGGTGGGACATACAAGATTCTGTACTATTCAAAAATTCATTCCTAAAGATGGGGAAGAAATTCTGATAAAACCACAAGTGTTTTTACAGAGAAACAAAGCCCCCACAAGAATTGGTCCTTTGCACAGCTGTTGCTTATCACCAAGCAGAGGCTGTTCCCAGGAGCTGGAGCAGAGATACGCCAGGTGTGAGTTACAAGCAATCCCAGAGACTCCAGCTACTAGCCCACCTTTTTCACTCCCACTCAATAAAGCCTTTTTTATTTTTATTTTTTAAAGCTCATTGGAATGTGAGCAAGCGATAGCCTCGTACAGATGAGCTGACTCCTCCACTAATTTGTAAGGAAAATAGACAACTCATGAACGCCACCTGAATCTATTGTCGTTAGTCATTCTCGGCACCTTCTGTACACACTTCTGGGGTTGAGGGAACCCCCTCTTTACAAGTCCCCGTCGCCCCCGTGGAGGAATGCAGTCACTCACCTTCCCAGCCTCCCTTGCGCGGAAGAGCCATCCCAGGGGAGCCAGCACTCACGCCTCTCCAGCCTTTCTGCAGAACGCCCGGGATCCCCCACAGCCCAGGGCTTTCTCTGCTGGAGCCCGCTCTGCCTTTGCACCAGGCAGGCAGAAGCGCCCCCCGCCCCCGGCAGTCCCCATAGGAGGAGTTAGTGATCAACTCCCGCCTCTGGTGGGAGAACTCCGAGGTGCGCGCAGGTTCCCAGGGGAGCCCACTGGGGCCTGTGCTTAGGTGCCCACAACGACACTCTGCCCCTCAGCAGGCACCAAATCCCCCACGGGCTTCCTTCCCTTCCCGTCTCCCTTTCCCACTGGTTCCTCCTGGGGCCACCTCTCAGCTGAACACCTGCACTCACCTCCCCTCCCCTCCTCCAGCTCCACTTCTGACGAGGCCAGACCTAAGACAAGAACAATGGCCCAAGACAAGAAGGGCGACCCGGGAATGCCTCCCCTCTTGGTTCTGGGTGAGTGCAGAACTCGAGTCATCTTTTTTTTTTTTATGACACATACATTTCTTAAAAAACAAAAAACAAAAAACAAAACCATGAACAGGAGTCTGGGTGGCTCCATCTGTGCTCCCCTGGCTCTGATCCCCAAGCAATTTGGACAGAACCCCCCGGGAGATTCTCATTTGTGCAGTTCAGCATAATTAACGTCGCCTTCCTACATTTCATAGCGTGCCCTCTGAAGCAAACAAGCCATTTTCTCTCAACATATGAAATACTGAATTGTAAAAGAGAAGCAAGATTTAAGTGGTGTGGAGAGAAGGTCTCCACGGTTTTCCTAAAATAATTGTCTGCGTCGAATGCACCTCGCCAGAGTGTTCTCTGCAGTAGTGTAATTAAATGCCTGGGGTTTAGTTGCTAAATCTCAGTGCGGCAGAGAGAGCCTGAGTTTTGCCCATCAGGTTCAAGTTCAAATGCACAGTCAAGTTCATGTCCCCGGGAACCGTTGGAATGTCCTGGAAGGCTCACTGTTTGAGATTCCAAATGCCAGCTCTCCCAGACTGTATTTAGCTTGGAACCCAAGTCATGAATTCTTGGAGGTCACAGAACTAGGGACAGAGAACGCCCCTAACTAAGGAAAAGCTTTGTAACAGCCGGTGTGAGAGCCCAGCAGCTCACCAGGTACAGACACCTCTGGTCTGGTGGCCTGTCTCACCTCGGATGTGTCCAGTACCCTGGGGAAGCCAGCCACTCTCTTGGCCAAGCTGCTGGGTCCAAGTTTAATATTCCTGCTAATGGGCTCTCAGTGGGTAAGCTCTGCACTCAAGGAGCTTTTCCTCAAATTGTCTTTTCTGGCTGGGAGTTTTCAAATCCTTTCACCCAGGCTGCTGCCCCAATTAAGCAGCAGTCTGTGTAACAGGTCCAGGATTGACTGAGTATGAGACACCCAGGAAAAGTTTTTCTTTCTGCTGCATCTGGGATCACGGGCTCAGCCTGCAGCTCCGCCACCTACGTCTTGGTTCAAAAAACAATTCCTGGTTCTTCTGGGGGCAGAGGGATTGCTACAGGATCCCAGGGGCAGCCAACAGTTAAGCACTGGCTATCGGGGATTAGCCAACAGGAACAGAGCAAGCGGCTGCTTCTTAATAAGTCAAGGATATTATTGCGTTTGAGACTGGATAATTTAATCAGGAAGCAGAAGTGGCTTGGGGCTCATATATTTATTTGTTCCCTGCCTTGTTCCAGAGAAGACTCCAAGTGGTTTACAAGGATATGTAAAATACCACACGATAGCTCCAATTAAATAGAAGAGCAGGAATTAGATGTTTCTGGAGGGCATTCTGCCAATCCAGAGCCAAAGCTTTAAGGCTTCTGCATTTCCATTTAAGCCAGCCAATCTGAGTCTAAGAATTTAAGTCCAGTGGGGAGGGGATAGCTCAGTGGTATAGTGCACGCTTAGCATGCACAATGTCCTGAGTTCAATCCCCAGTACCACCATTAAGAAAATAAATAAATAAAATTTTAAAAAAATTTAGCCCAGGGAAATCGTGTGGACAAGCACTCAGTTGCTACAAGAAAGCTCATTAAAGTGCTGTTGAAAATTGAACAACTGGAATTTTTTCCCCTCTAGTCGTCTGCCAATAGAGGGCTCGATTTAAACACTTAAAGTGCATCTACAGAGGGGAATACTATGCAGCCACTAAAATTGAGGACTAGCATGGATTTTTATCACCATCTTCAAATTTACCTCCTAAGTTTTCCACAATAAACATTTATTGTTCTTGTGAAGATTTTTTTCCCTCTCAAAAGATTTTTTAATGGGCTTTTTTGTTTTTGGCTTTTAAAATGTTTTGGGGGGAGGTAATTACATTTATTGATTTAGTTATTTTTCACTGATGGTACTGGAGACTGAACCTAGGATCTCATGCATGCTAAGCATGAGCTCTACCACTTAGCTATACTCTCCCTCCCTAAAGTTTTTTTTTTTTTGAAAGGGAGAAAAGGAGCAAAGAGAAATGTGGGGATGTACAACCAGAAGCGAGGCTAAGAAAAACCCATCCCTTAAAAACCTGAACAACCAGCATATGGTTGAGCCATAAATTTGGCTCCAAGCTCCTTAGCAGCCAACTCAAAAAGGGAAAGCTGGTCATTTATGCGGCTCCCAGTGTCCTGAAACAAAAGCATGCCAGATGCTCAGGAGAAAACTTAACTATTTTTAGTACCAAGAACAGGCAAGGATCTCTCCCACGGTCCTCCCAAAAAGGAGCCTGTGTGATGTCACCAGCATCTTTCCAGATAACATCCTTACACTCGAAATGACTCGGATGTTTCTTCTTCCTACTTGGGTGGTAGGTTAGAGCCAGATGTTTCAGAGCAGAGTCCCAGGGTCAGGCTGCCTGGGTTTATGTCCTGGCTCCATCACTCACTTGCGGTGTGAGCCGTTTAACCCCCCTGTGCCTGTTTCCTCATCTATAATATGGACATAAGAACTGCACCTATTCTGCAGGGTTGCTTGAATGAGCCCGTAACACATATGTGTGAGCATGTCACCAGCATGTAGTTAGTGCTACAGAAGTCTTTGTTATTATTATTATTTTCTTCATGACACCCTAAAGCCGATTTGGCAACATCCTGAAGTCAACATGGTTTGAGTTGGGTGTGGGCACTGAGCTGAGATGGTCTAGAAGAATCGGTCAAAGTCTGCTGCATCCGAGGCTGAGGCTGCAGGAAGATGAGGAGTCACAGACAGCCGGATGGCAGAGAGAGTGACAGAGAGTCGAGTCCTGCAGAAGATGGACAAAGACGCTGCTCCGTCCCACCCGCCACGTGGCTCTGCCAGCTTCCTGTCCTAGAGCATCTCCTTGACATGACTGGGTAGAGGGGAGTCCTATTTCAGTGTAACAGGCAATCAATCAGGCACACGCTGCCATGTCTGCTGTGGTCCATCCTCTAGTCATCCTGCTTTTCCTGGACCACACCATGCTTTTTCCCACCTTCAGACCTTTGCACCAGCTGGACCCTATGCCATGAAAACCCCATCTCATGGCCAGACTAACTTCCTCATTTCTAAGGTTCAAGCATGCAAGTCCCTTCCAAAAGCAGCTTCCACTGTCCCTGCCCCATGTCACCCACCCCTCAAGGCATCCTGTGCCTTTTTTTCCCTAATATTTCTATTTCTTACTATTTGTCAAGCATTGTTCTAAGCA